TGATGATGATGATGATGATGATGATGATGATGATGATGATGATGATGTATAATAATGTATTATGGTGATGATGTTGATGATGATGATGATGTTGTATGTATGATGATGATGATGTGTGTACTGTACGAGTATGTATAATGATGATGATGAAGATGATGACAAAACACTGCGCCTGCCACGAAAAGCTCTTTCCCGTACTGCAGTTGCACTACAAACTGGCCACTTCTGAGCCCAGCTCCGAAAAGCTCTTTCCCGTACTAAATTTGTACTACAAACTGGCCACGTCTGAGTCCAGCTCCGAAAAGCTCTTTCCCGTACTACATTTGTACTACAAACTGGCCACTTCTGAGTCCAGCTCCAAAAGTGAAGCGCCAAGTCTCCAAAACGGCGTTTCGTACAAGACTTCCTCCAAAAGTGAAGCGCCAAGTCTCCAAAACGAGCGCTTCGTACCATACTTCCTCCAAAAGTCACGCGTCAAAGTCACCAAAGTGAGCATTTCGTACGAGACTTCCTCCAAAAGTCAAGCGCCAAGTCTCCAAAACGAGCGTTTCGTACGAGACTTCCTCCAAAAGTCACGCGCCCAAGCCTCCAAAACGAGCGCTTCGTACGAGACTTCCTCGAGCGTTTCGTGCGAGACTTCCTCCATAAGTCACGCGTCGACGCGCACCATCCGGGCAGAGGGTTGCTCGGGTACAAACGCGATCGACGTTTTACCACACGTTTGAGCGCTCGACACGCACGATCCTCGCAGAGGGTCACCTGCGCCCGTCAAAAATCGCATTTCACAACACGTTTGAGCGCTCGACGCGCACGACCCCCGCAGAGGGTCGCTCCAGGTCAAAAATGCGATCGACGTTTCACCACACGTTTGAGCGCTCGACACGCACGATCCTCGCAGAGGGTCACCCACGCACAAACCAAATTCGCATTTCACCACACGTTTGAGCACTCGACACGCACGATCCCCGCAGAGGGTCACCCGCGCCCACTCAAAATTCGCATTTCACCGAACGTTTGAGCACTCCACACGCACGATCCCCGCAGAGGGTCGCTCCAGGTCAAACACGATCGACGTTTAACCACATTTTTGAGCGCTCGACACGCACGATCCCCGCAGAGGGTCGCTCGGGGTCAAACGCGATCGACGTTTCACCACACGTTTGAGCACTCGACACGAACGATCCTTGCAGAGGGTCACGTTTCGTGAGCTCCAGCCGGACCTGCCCACCGCCTTAAGAGTAGAAAGAAACTGAAAAGAAGTGTTAGAAGAAGTTTTTTCGATGATGATGACGATGACAATGATGGTGATGATGATGACGATGATGATGATGATGACAAAACACTGCGCCTGCCACGGCAAGCTCTTTCCCGCACTGCAGTTGCACTACAAACTGGCCACTTCTGATTCTGAGTCCAGCTCCGAAAAGCTCTTTCCCGTACTACATTTGCACTACAAACTGGCCATTTCTCACTCCAAAAGTGAAGCGCCAAGTCTCCAAAACGAGCGTTGCGTACGAGACTTCCTCCTAAAGTCACGCGTCAAAGTCTCCAAAGCGAGCGCTTCGTGCGAGACTTCCTCCAAAAGTGAGGCGCCAAGTCTCCAAATTACCACTTCACCACACTTTGGAGCACTCGACACGCACAGTCGCCGCAGAGGGTCGCACCACACGTTTGAGCGCTCGACGCGCACGATCCTCGCAGAGGGTCACCCGCGCCCACTCAAAATTCGCAGAGCACTCGACACGCACGATCCTCCCAGAGGGTCACCCGCGCCCACGCAAAATTCGCATTTCACCACACGTTTGAGCGCTCGACAGGCACGATCCCTGCAGAGGGTCACTCCGGGTCAATCGCGATCGACGTTTCACCACACGTTTGGGCGCTCCACGCGCACGATCCTCGCAGAGGGTCACGTTTCGGGAGCTCTGGCCGGACCTGCCCGCCGCCTTAAGAGTAGAAAGAAACTTTTATAGATGTGTTTTTCGTAGGTGAGATTTAGTATGTGTTTTTAGTCGTTTTTTTCAACACCTACATATCTACACCTGTATCTCTACACCTGCAAAAGCCACATCTTTAAAACCTTGCAAAACCCACATGTTATGTCATGATGTATGATGTATGATGTCTGATGATGATGATGACGATGATGATGACGATGATGATGACGATGATGATGATGATGATGATGTGATAGTAGCGATGATGATAAAGATTATGTTGGAAGATGATGTGAGCAATTGTCCTTTGGAAGAAACCCTTCGCAGGCGCTTTCGGGTAAAATCCGAGCAAAGATGCTTTTGGGAAGGAAAATATGGGAAGGCAGGGACACGCAAATGTTTGGACAATAACTCTGGAAAAGAGGCCAATGCCCTCTGTGGCAGGCTTACAAGGTTGTTCAATTCTATTGGGCAATTTCAATTGCGTTGACTTTTTGGGGCTGTCTCCAGAAGACTATTAAGTAGAAAACTACCCACAACAAATCGATGGGTGGTTTTTTGTTCTACTTACAGTAGTGGGGTTTTCTGCGCATGATGCGTATGAAATGGACCCCCAAGCATCAAAAAACCTTGCAGCAGTCGTACAGCGTGCACAAATGCATGCACAAATGCGCGCAGCGCGCAGAACTTGACCGCTTTTGATCAAACTTGTTGCTGTTCCTTGTTATTAAGAACAGCAAGCTCTCCGTTTACCGGTCAAACTTGACAACCTGTTGTTCACGATCGTTTACTCTCTGTTCTTCCCTTCGTTTAGGTCCCACAACTCTCTCTCTCTCTCTCTTCTCTCTCTCTCTCTCTCTCTCTCTCTCTCTCTGTGGCGAATCTCCTTCGTATTGGATTCGAAGTTTCTTGTAGAAGCTCATCGCGCCGGTCGGCGTGTACCGGCCCGCGTAGTCCAGGCCCCGAACGGCATTCTGCGTTAAGCCACAGTCGATGTTGAAGTCCAGCTTGGCGTAATTCATGAACTCCTGGAGTTTTATAGATTACGACCCCATGGTATCAGGTTTGGGTTGTTCTCGTTGTTTTCGCTGTGTGTATGAATAATGTTGATAGGCTTCCAGACTATGAATCGTTCAAAGAAGATCAAAGAAGTATGAACTCCTTGCAATAGCCATAGACCTCCCAATCACGCTGCCCCACGCTCGTGACAGAGTTCGCACAAACCTCATCGAAGACTGCCCGCGTCGCCGTTTCAAGGCGCGTCTTGTTGCTGCCACCTAGGTCGCTAAGCTTCTCTAAAACATTCTGCCACTGACCTGCTGTTCCCGAAGAGATGGGTCGGTTCATGAATTGGTAGAGCATTGCAGGGGTCATCGTGAAACGTGTGTTTAGCTCTGTCGGGAGAGAGTATAGAGAGCTACCAGATGTCGCACCATCTGCTTCCGCCTTCACCTTCGCAACAACCTTCATGAAGAACTCCACTGGGTCAAAACCATCCATGTTGCAGAGTTCTTGAATCTTGTCTTTGTGGAGTTCCGTCTTGTCATAGCGTGCGTTCCAGCACATTTGCACGAGCTTTGTCAGGCCTTGGCGGGAGGCCAAAGCCGTGTACTCATAGTAGTCACTCACATCATGACCAGGCACCACGTTTCCATTGAGAATCAACTTGTCGACACTCTTTGGAAAAGCTCCAGCATAGGCAGCTCCCACCGCTGTGCCATAGCTCAGACCATTGATGCTAAGCGTCTTTGCACCTAAAGCCTCGCGAAGGCGGTCAAGATCCATTGCAAGCATCTGGGTACCAACGTAGTCCAGGAAGTTGTAGGTGTAATCCTTGCCACCGCTCGAAACCTTCATTTCCCAGTAAGGTGAATTGTAGCAGTTTCGGTTCCTGGAAGCTGTAAATTCGAACCACTTCATCATCTCAGCCTCGTCCTCCGGATCTGGAAACGGACTTGGTACCTCCACACCCTCCTGCGAAAGCAGCGATTTGGGACGATCGTCCGGCGGCCGACCGAGCCCATCGTCCGGCGGTCTCCATTTCAAACGACTGGGCTTGTCCTCCCCACAGTGGAATGAAAAAGCCACGGACCCCCAGTTCTGTGGAAAAGGGTGCAAATCCTGAACCCGAATGAATGTGACTCCCAGTTCCTGGGTTGTCCCTCCTTTCCCCTTCCTTCACACCCAAACAACGCGACCATGGGTTGCTCTCCTCTGGCAGGTTACACTCGCAAGAGGTGAAGTCGCGAAGGTCGTAATGCGACTTGCCGGGCGCAGGAGTCAAGTCTTTGCCGTCGCACACTTTCAGAAACTCCTTGCTCTTCACTGGCAACGGTTCAAACCGACCATTGCCGATGCCCGCATAACTGGACATGCCGCGCTGTTGGATGCCAATAACGGTGTACGCCTTGACCATGGCGGATGTTGGTGATGTATTGTAGAGATCAGGTTTTTTGCTCAGCACTCCATAAAGAACATCCAGGTCATCCGAGACAGGACCGCCGTTGTGCTGAAGGATCAGCGGGGCGTGAGGTCCTGCAGGTCCAATCAAGGCAGACACTCGCAAAGATAGGGTGATCTCATGTGAAGGCTTCGTGTTGTCATAGTCTAAAGGCACCGTCAAGTAGCCGAATTTGAGCGTCCAAAAGTCGTCTTCTGTCACAGGCGTTGCATCGTGCTTGTGGTGTTCAATGATGCCATCCTTCTCCTCTTTGCTGCATAGAGCACGCCACAAACACAGTGGTTCACCCGGATCAAGCTTCACAGTCAATTTCAAAAAATAGCCCGTGTAGTGCCATTGGAGCTTTTCCGGGTCAGGTTCTAACACGCTCCAGGTGCTTCCACTGGCATCCTCCAAGCTCACCGCATCATGGACGATCTCTCTCACAGCACCATCGCTGTCACACTTCACGGTGCACATGACCCCCTTCGCGGTGACCTTCGGGTTCTTTGCGCAAAAGGCTTCGATCCCAGCCCCATCTTGGCAATCAAAGGCGGGATCCAGGGACTCCTGGACCTCACAAGCTTCAAAAACTTGGATCACGTGGTCCAAGAACACGATGTCTGTTACACAGAACAACACGTTGTCTTCTTTGCTGGTTCGGAACGAACAACACGGGGCTCTGGTGGGAACCGGAACGAACAACCGCCTTTTCATAATCAGAACAACACGTTGAGGGAATACACAAAACCGCCAAAAACATGAATCGCCTTGTGTTGCAACATGCAGGTTGCATCTCCATGGCCCTCAGCCCTGGCGACCAACCATTGCACTAAGCACACCCAGTGGATCCAGGTAGAGGCCCTCATGGCAACACTCCGCGGTCACCGGCAGCCACCGGTCACGCGTACAAAGCCGGTCCCGTTTGAACCACGAACCCGCTCAAGCGCTGCAGCGAGCGGAAAATTCCCAGATCCGACGGGCGTCTGACAGCAACGCGCATGAACAAAGACCCGATGGAGTGATGCGAAAGGAACCTGCCAGGTTTGTTATTGCGAAAGGGGCCTTCCATTGTGGAATGATGTGAAAGGAACCTTCTTGTGAGTCCACATTTCCAGGTTTGTTGTGAGTCAAGCCTCACGAGACCTTTAGTTTCTTGGACCCAGCCTCCGTTTTGTGTGAGCCGAGTGCATCCGTTTTGTCTGCTTGGTTGGTTCGCTGTTTTTTTCTTATTTGCCTTTTTGGAATTTTGGGGCTGTTGATCAAAGGAAGTTTAGTGTACGAAACTTCCGTGTTACGGACATTCAAGAACTGTTCATACAGCACTCATCCTACACCACTCATCAATACACCACTCATCATACACCACCACTCATCATACTCATCATACACCACTCATCAGACACCACTCATCATACACCACTCATTAGACACCACTCATCATACACCACTCATCATAGACCACTCATTAGACACCACTCATCCTACCTTCATGCGCAGATTGCGTGGCAGGCGCAGCACTTTGTGAACCTCCATGCGCAGATTTCGTGGCAGGCGCAGCACGTTGTGAACCTCCATGCGCAGATTTCGTGGCAGGCACAGCACTGTGTGAACCTCCATGCGCAGATTTCGTAGCAGGCACTTTGTGAACCTCCACGTGCAGATTTCGTGCCAGGCACAGCGCTTTGTGAACCTCCATGTGCAGATTTCGTGGCAGGCACAGCACTTTGCGAACCTGCACGCGCAGATTTCGTGGCAGGCACAGCATCTGTGGAGCTGGAAGCTGAGAAGTGGCGACTTTGTAGTACGACTTTAGTACGCGGAGTATCTGCGCAGCTGGAAGATGAGAACTGGCGACCCCTGTAGTACAACTTCAGTACGCGGAGCAATCTGTGGAGCTGCAAGCTGAGAACTGGCGACTTGTAGTACAACTTTAGTACGGGGAGTATCTGGGGAGCTGGAAGATGAGAACTGGCGACTTTCTAGTACAACTTTAGTACGCGGAGCAATCTGTGGAGCTGGAAGCTGAGAAGTGGCGACTTTGTAGTACAACTTTAGTACGGGGAGCAATCTGGGGAGCTGGAAGCTGAGAACTGGCGACTTTGTAGTACGACTTTAGTACGTGGAGTATCTGGGAGCTGGAAGATGAGAACTGGCGAAGTTGTAGTACAACTTTAGTACGCGGAGTATGTGGGGAGCTGGAAGATGAGAACTGGCGACTTTGTAGTGCAACTTTAGTACGCGGAATATCTGGGAGCTGGAAGATGAGAACTGGCGACTTTGTAGTACAACTTTAGTACGCGGAGCAATCTGGGGAGCTGGAAGCTGAGAACTGGCGACTTTGTAGTACAACTTTAGTACGCGGAGCAATCTGCCCAGCTGGAAGCTGAGAACTGGCGACTTTAGTACGTGGAGTATCTGGGAGCTGGAAGATGAGAACTGGCGACTTTGTAGTACAACTTTAGTACGCGGAGTATCTGGGGAGCTGGAAGATGAGAACTGGCGACTTTGTAGTACGACTTTAGTACGCGGAGATCTGGGGAGCTGGAAGATGAGAACTGGCGACTTTGTAGTACAACTTTAGTACGCGGAGCAATCTGGGGAGCTGGAAGCTGAGAACTGGCGACTTACAACTTTAGTACGCGGAGTATCTGTGAAGCTGCAAGCTGAGAACTGGCGACTTTGTAGTACAACTCTAGTACGCGGAGCAAGCCGTGGAGCTGGAAGCTGAGAACTGACGACTTTGTAGTACAACTTTAGTACGCGGCTGAGTCATTTCTATTCTGTATTTTGCAAAAATGCATGAACAACGTTTTTCCCTGCGAGACAGTTGACGGCGGTTGCTTCGCTTTCGCTCCATTGGTCGGTTCCAACTTGTTTTGTCAAAGAACATCGCAGCTCGGCGAATCAGCCTGCCACATGCCCATTTCCTATAGGCTTATTCTTTTGGAAACTTCCGCCGCCGGCTTGCCCGGGAACTACTTGTATTTTTATGGTTGGCAGGTTGTCGAGGACGCTCACCTGTCCAGTGTACAGCATGGTAAACATTGCTAAACCAGAGCTCCAGCCATCGAAACAAAACAGGCCCCTTCTAGACGAACTGCACCAGAGGTGCAGAATCCGGCGACCTACGCATCGTCCAAAAGCATGGAAGCAACGTCCGCCCAAGAACTTGCAACGGTTGCAAGAGATTTATACTCAGGACCCCACCCCGGCCCTCCCCCAAATCAAGAACCGGGTGCTTCATCAAAATCTGAAGCCTCCCCAAAGCCCCCCAAACAGATTGTACAAGCATAGACCCCAAGCAGCTTCAAAACGATTCGCTTAGACCAATATTCATCAAAAATCGATTTCTTGGTACGCCCTACCTTCACGCCAAGAGCAAACTGCTTCATCAATGAATTTTCGTCGGCATTGACATCGCTATTTGTTCGGCCTCACTCCGCTCCAGTAAACCGGGCCACAGAGACCAGCCACAGAGTTCAGGGGCGCGGCCAAGACAAGGACAAGAGGAGGACAAGACCCGGACACAGAGCCCAGCCACAGAGTTCAGGGGCGCGGCCAAGACAAGGACAAGAAGAGGACAAGGCCCAGAGGACAAGGCCCACACAGAGGACAAGAGGAGGACAAGGCCTGGACACAGAGCCCAGCCAC